AAACTTGCTTTCTTTTTTTCCCCATTTTTATTAATTCGTATAACTGTAGACTTTAAATTTAGTTATCATCGTGAGCCTTTGGGATAGTAAATATGAATTCAAATTTCTCATTCTTCTTCTTTCCTTGGCTTGTGTATTTTAATGTCATGTGTTTTTTAATATTTTGAACTTCCTTTTAAGTGATTTTTTAAAAATTCTTTTCGAATATTATTTGCCCTTAAATTGCAAAAGATTTGTTTAGAAGATATAATGTGACTGAACATTTTTGTCAATACAATATTTTGATGAATTGGGTAATAATATTCTCTTTTCTTCTTTTTGAGTAAAGAATGATAATATTCATCTTAATAGGAAAATTTAACAAACTTCCTGAGAACTTGCAAATCATAAATATACAAAACAGAAGTTTGTATCATAGATGACTTGCTTTATCAATTTTATAATGTGAAAGATTATTAATTATAGATCAATTCTTTTTTATTATTAAAACTTACTTTTAGTAATTAAAATATATTGATTCCTCTCATATAATAGAAGGTTTATTTTTCATAATACATTAAAAATATCAAATCTAACATAAAATTTTTATGTTATATTTTATGAAGAGATATATCTTATGTCAAACTTGCATACAAAAGAATTTAAACTTTGAACTTAACATTATTTTATGTGTGCTTCACTATGATATATGTACTTATATAAATTAATTTTTAATGTCAATTAGAAGAAAAACGTGCAACGCACGTTCCCAGGACTAGTATTATTATAAGTGGGAAGCTCCAAAGTGAAAAGTTGAATTATCATTTTACCCCTACACAAATTGAAAGGCTATAAAATATTTAATTAAACTCATCTAATATAATTAATTAAATATTTTTATCTTTAAATAATGAAAATACTTCTTTGATAATTTGTGTAAGAAAAAGTAAATATATATTTAAATAAATGCTAATTATCATATTGACTACAATACAATGAATGTTTAATTTCAAGATTGATTCTTCATATTCTTGTATTTATATTAGTACATATATTGAATAATTATAGTCAGCCGCTTCAACTTTAAACAATAACTACAAATTTAGTTTTTTTAAAGAATAAAATATAAAGTGTCCTTTCACTTCTTCTATAAAGAAATTCAATGATATTTTAATAATCTTTTTATAACTTTGACTTTTGAATTTCTATATCTTGACTATAAATATCATTTTGTGCTTCACTAATTTTTCCATACTTAAATTGTTCCATGATATATGGTGTCTTAGTTTTTATGATAGCTAATTCTCTGCACTCCTTGTATCTTAATATTTGTTTGATAATTTTATCGTATATTAATTAAGATCTGTTTAAATTTCTCTTCTATGTGTTCAAGTGAAATTTTTATTTTGTGTTATTATATTAGAAATGAAGATGTTATACATTTGTTGATGTTCATTAATAATATATTTGTTACTTTCACCTTTCATCCATGGAATGGGTTAATGACATATTCATGACAATCCTTTCAGTCTCTCAATTATATCCTATCAAAAGATATTTTGAATAATTGGAAGAGAATAAAGAAAGTTGTCATCTCTTACCTGTCTATATTTTTTGTACTTTTTTCTTTCATATTGTTATTTTTAGCTTCATTTTAATATTTTTGTTGATTTCTTTAGAGGTATTCTTTTATTTACCATTAAAAAATCTCTATTTTCTTTTCCGAGTTAATTCCTATTTGATAAATAAATAACTACAAATAAAAAATTATTGTACACAATAAGACTTTCTTTGCATGGTTGAAAATTGTTCTTGCTTTGGTGACCACAAATGTAAGTTGTATAGCTTTTAAAATACTTTATTCCTGATTTACTATTTTATTTTACAAACTTTATAGTAAAAAATAGAGTTATTAGTTCTACTAAAAGTGTGAAGCAACAAAGTTAAAGGTTGGATTACTAAAATAATCCTATAACTTTGTATAGAGTATAACACTCTTTGAAAATATAAAATATGAAGAGTTTGAAGGGTTACTTAATAATTAAATACACTTAATTCAATATACCATATTAATCTACTAAAAGTCTTTAGCTACTGGTGAAATATGTAAAGATGTTTGAGACTTTAGTTCCCCTCATTCACTTTCTTTCATTTAATTCATTTTAATTCTAACATGAAGTTTAAGTTCAAATTGTCTAATTTAATTGATTATTTTTCTCTTAGTTAAGTTAAGACTCATCTTTACAAGAAAAAAATACATATATCTTTCAATACAAAAGAAATGCTTTGTTGATTTTCTTGTAAAGAAAATTTGAGATAGCTGCAATATGAGTATGCCTTCTAGCTTGCCTATTATTTCTTATATATGTGAAAGTTCTTTATGTATTTTTTTTAATTAATTGTTGTAATTTGTTACTATTTTTTTTGTTGATCCATTTTTATTCTATCAGTAAATTACTAAATCAAAATGTACAACACACATTTAACAGATAATTATTTTTCTTTCGCACTATTTGTGGTTTCTTCGTCTTTAATATCAAAAAGGTCATACAAACACATCGTTACAACAACTTCATGCAACTTAACTTGGGACACACGTGCAACGCATGTGCCCGAAACTAGTAATATAATAGGCATCATAGTCCTAATAGGTTAGAGTTAGGGTTGAAGAGGTTTTATCTTTTCTTTATTTATATATAAAATATAAATACAATGAGAAAAAAATTCTTCCAAATATTATTGGTCTTCTTCTGTTTCAAGTTTGTCTGATTTTTGCTGATTCTCGGTTGTTTTTTCTATTTAAGCAATGTGAAATTTTAATTGGAATTAAACAAAGTCAGATAGAGTTGAATTTATATTAGATTATTCAATAGTGTTTTTTTTTTAATTATTAGTCAAATTCTCATCTTCCTTCTCGATTGATAAATTTTGATTCATCCCTTTTTTTCTTTGTTATTAGAGGTTTTAATCAAATTACTTTTAGAGGGGAATGATGGATGTAGCTTCTGATCATCAAGCCACAAGCATTTGCACTCACTGGTAAGTTGCATATAATTGTTGTTATAAAGCTATTTTGAGATAACTCGTGCTAGATAAATTCGGTGTGACGAGCTCGACCAGTAAGCAAGTTCCTTACTTTCACGGGCGGTGTGATGAGTTCGACCAGTAAGCAAGTTCTTTACTTTCGCGGGTAAGGGGTTTCGTGAAATCCCAAACCCAAACCAGTGAACCAGCCTAAATATAGTCAATAGTGGAGTAAATTTCTCAAAAATCACTTTTGTAAATATTTATGTTTAGCAAAGTTAATTTAATTGTGTATCAATACATGAAGTCATTAAATTTAGAAGTAATGGTGAAAAAACATCTAATTATGCTAAGTTCAAGTGTGTCTTTTACCATAATACAGGACCTTAATATATTTTTTTATGTCACATAGACAGGAAACACAAGTAATAAAATACTTAAAAAACCCAACATCAAATTGACATGTTTTTCCATTGTATTCCTTTTTCTCATAAATACTTTGATTTGATGTACACGAGTTGGAGTTTTTCGGAAATAACCTTTCTCCCTTTCCGAGGGAAGGGTAAGGGTAACTGCGTACTTAGATGTGATGTACTTGAGTTGGGGTTTTTTGGAAACAACCTTTCTACCTCTCCGAGGTAAAGGTAATGTCTGTGTACATTCTAGTGTCTCCAAAACCCCGCTTGTGGATTACACTGGGTATGTTATTATTTCATGTTTTTTGTTAGCTTTGCTGGAATTAATAAAGACAATATTTGGGTTTTGTTTTAGCTGCAACTTCTTGTCCCTAGATGGGATGCTAGTTTGCATTGACAATTTGATACACCATACTGATGTGTTTAAGTGCAAGGATGCTCAAGTGTGATAGGTTGGTTGTAGTCAACGGTTAGAAGAGGTGGAGATAGGCCGAAGAAGAACTGTGAGCGATGATTAGACAAGATATGACACAACTTTAGATGACCGAGAATGACCTTAGATAGGAATGTATGAAGGTTGAGGATTAGGGCAGAAGGTTAGTAAGTAACTGAGTGTGTTGTCACACTTTGTGTGGAAGAGGCAGGGGTCTAGGCTCCTCTCCTCTTCTTTTTAGTTGAATTCTTTAGTTATCGCGTAGTTTCTTATTCTTCGATGTGCACCACTAACTGTTGCTACATTTGTTACTTTATTGTCTTATATTTCTTACAATCATATGTCAGATACATTTCTTTTGTGCCGATCGAGGGTCTACTAAAAGTAGCCTCGCTACCCCATAAAGGTTGAATACGGTTCACATATTCTATACTCTCCAGACTCCACTTGTGGGATTACACTAGATATGTTGTTGTAATTCATTTCGTAGCGGGGTTGTGAGCTACAGGAAAATGTGGATTTAGTCAATCATATCATGCTAAATATGATCTTTTCCTATGTTGTGTTATTATTCATAATTTGCTGATTTGAATCGTTCTGTTTCCAGCGACAGAGCGATTCCTTCTTCCAATCTCGATTTGCATGTTGCTCACTGCTCTCGAAAGCTTGAAAGATGTAAACTCTGTGGAAATATGGTTCCGAAAAAACATGCAGATGAACATTTCTTGAGTACTCATGCTCCTGTAGGTGAACCTATTCGTTTTTCATCCCGTGTATTGTATTGCTTGCTCATTGATCTCTTCGATCCTTTTTATGCATGTTAATTTTCAGGTATCTTGTTCCTTGTGTAGCGAGACTATGGAGCGTGAGGTATTAGCCGTTCACAAAGGTGAAAATTGCCCACAAAGGCTTGTGGCATGTGAGTATTGCGAGTTTCCATTGCCTGCAACTGATTTATTTACGCATCAGGTTATAATGACTATCTATGATTTAGCTGCTTGATCTATTTTGTACCTTTTATCGTTAAATGATTGAACGATAGAATCCTGTTGTTATAATATATGCATTCCTTTACCAGGATGTATGCGGGAATAGAACAGAACTCTGCCAGCTGTGTAACGGATATATTAGGCTCCGTGAAATAATGGTCCATGAGAGTAGATGCAATGGAGGCACAGATTACATCTCGGGATCTTCCAGGTATTACGAGCCTAACATGTTCATTTAGTTGGGATTTTTCGCGTCTCCAAGGTCGTTTTGAACATTTCTCTCAAAGTTGAGCAGATCTTTGATTGTGTAGTTGTATATTTCATCATTTGCTAATTTGAATTGTTATGTTTGCAGTGACGGATCGATTTCTTCTTCTAATGCAGAAGAACAATTTTTGAGCAATGATGCACTGGTAAGTGAAGAGAATCAAAACTGTCTCGTTATATTATTTTAAGTTTCCTATTCCTCATTTACTCGTAACGTTTGCTTAATAAATCACATTACCATACACATTTTTTGTTAATGTTGACCTTCTCAAATGCCTCGGTGATTCGTGCTATCATCAAAGCTAACATTTTAGCGTTCAGCCTGTCCTGCACCTAGTTTCAGGGCTTGAGAGTGCTTGAACGAAGTCTTTAAGAACATTCGATCTAAGATATGCCTCTTTCATCTTCTAAAGTTTTTGCATTTGATGAAGATATATGTTTTGTTCTCCCGCTCACCTGCTATGCCTCTGTCATTCTGTTCTGTTTTCGAGTACCCTGCTGTTATAATATTTGCAATCGTTAAGCAGGAAGCTTGTGGGGATAAAACAGAACGCTATCATCTGTGTAGCAGATATATTAGTCTCCGTGAAAGAGATGTTCATGAGAGAAGGTGTAATGGAGACACAGACATCAATTCAGAATCTTCCAGGTATACAAACCTGAAATTTTGATTCAGTAGATACTTTTCATGTCTCTCGATAGTCGTCTTGAACTTTCCTTTCAAAGTTGAGTAGATTTGGCTTTGATTCTTTGGTGATGTTTATGAGGTCCAACCATTAGTCCATCGGAAACATGCATCTCTCTGTCATTCATACCTTAATGTAATCGTCGCTCAGACATGCCTTTATTTTGCCTTTCGTCTCTTGTTTTGGTACGAGTGGTCTATGGATCTTGTCTCAACGATTAGTGTGCACTGATACCTGTATAACTCTAACCAGCAACCAAATGACCATGTGGTCGTTCATGTTACTTGCTCATATGTGTCTTTTCTCTTTACATTTCAATTGTTTCCATATATCTTATGTTCGTGTGGCAAGTTCACTGGTCTTTGCTTTTTCGTCGTGTTTCTTGTATCTCTGTAGCAGCACTAATCCGGCTGAGAGAGATCGCGGTGCTTCTAGAAGGAAGCTCCGTGCAGTTCCCGAGACGCGGCTTCTATTTACAACACTTGCAATAACAGGCAGTGCTGTTTTGGTAGGCACACTTGTTTTCCAGAGGAAAACTGAAGACACTCAAGCTTCCTAGCAGATTTACTGTAATGATCCCATCAACTTATACTTTTATCAAGTTAAAATAACAATATCCGAACCTTCGGGGTGGCCCAGTGGTTTGAGCTTGGGACTTCTATGTTGGAGGTCTCAAGTTCGAAACCCCTTGCCAGCGAAAGCAAGGAGTTTGCCTTTACCTCTCTTATGTGGTTTGCGAGCTATTGCATAGGAGCAGGGTTTCACCCTGTGCGCACCCAAAAGGAGTAGCGGTTGCGGGTTTCCCTTGACGTAAAAAAAAATAACAATATCCGCGTCTTAGAGTTCAGATGTATTTACTTGTTAAACTTTATATATGTTTAAGTGTCTACTTGTGTTATGTCTTTTATTTTGACTTGTCCATCTTAAATTTTGCATGTTCTTTAAGACGTAATGATTAATATATGTATTTTATCACGAGATACATGTATTATTTTAAGTTAGGATAAAGTATAAAAAATATTATATTTCTATCTTGATATATGAAATATTTATTTTTATTATTGTGAATAAGTAAAATGGAGATATATAAGTGAAAATGACATAGTGAAAGAGGGGAAACGAGTACGAAACCTAACTATAGGTGGACCACAATTCTCACTTGTCTTATCTTTAAAAAAAATATTCAAATTAAATCGTGAATAAAAAACAATTTTATTATAACGATATTAATATTATGTTTGTACACCCCTTAATAATTATGATAATTTTTTAGTATAATTTAGAATTGAAAATTAATATCTTTAGTTCAAAATAGAGTTTAGTAGTTGAAAGAATAATTTTGATTGTTATTAATAAAAAAATTGGTGAATTTAGTAAAAGTAAACAAAAAAAAATATATTCTAATCATTGATAAACATTAATCTACCTCGCAATTTCAATTCGAGATAAAATACATGTTAAAAAGACTATCAATTCAATTTCATAACTAATTGTTACGTTTCAATAAAATCCAATTCTGATATGAAAATTCAAATTTAAATATGAAAAATGAAAAAAAATAAAAAAAAATATAACTAATAATAGAGTGTAATGAGGAAAACATACGACAAAATGAAGCTTGTTTTGTCTTTTTGAGACAGATTCAGATTTATCTCTTCTACGTTAAGCATTCTAACAATTATTCCTTTTCAAAAAATTCAACTCGTGAACACTTCAATTTATCAACTTTCATGTTGGGTTTAAATTATACTCGCTCGGTTATTAATTATTTGTTTACTTTTAAATTGATCTATATATTAAAAAATAATTAATATAATGAATTTGTCATTTTATCTCTATTAATTACGAATAGAATGAATTAAAAATTAAAGATTTTCAAAAGTTCTAAATTTTTCAATGTAATTAATTGAGAATATAATAAGTAAAAAAATAGTCCTTTCTTTATTTGTCAAAATGAACAAGTAATTAGGAATAACTAAAATAGAAAAATTGGATAAGTAATTAGAGATCGAAGTAGTATATACTTACTATGTAGTAAGTAAATTTTTGGACAAATAATCAAGTATACTCCGAAGAATCCTAAATGATTTATAGATACTCTCCATCATACTTTTAAGACATTGGTGTTCCTTTCGTTCAAAAACTAAAGTATATATGTCCTTCACTCTAAGGGAAGACTATATAGAAATACGTGGCGCAATCTTATCCGTCGATATGATATTTAATAAATGTCGGATCAGTGGATAGGATTGTGACACGTGTATGTCCGTTATTATAAAAGATATATATGCTCTAATTTTTTAAACGGCAGAGACACGAATATTTTAAAACTATACCGAAGAATATCTTTCTACTATTTACGATAATTCAAAGTATATTTATCCTTTTTCGCTAAAAGTTTTTTTCACATGATGTCAATAGGTAGGAGCAAGTAGACAAACTTTACAGTACAACTATGGCCTATGGGGTCAATGGCATGTGTTTATGGTGTTAATAATTCAAATTTGCATCACAATCAGCCAATAATACTCAAAACAAAAGGACTTACATTTTCATGTAAAACAATTTTCTAAATATCTTTCTTTTTATTTCTTTTTAGGTTACTTTAGGGAAACTATGTCTTCTACAGGACTGCTGTTAAATGCTCAAAATGATTATGTAAAGTTTTTTTCCTTTTAGAACATACTTCTATTCATTTTTTTATTTTCATAATAATTTCCTCCTCTGTTTTGCTTGTTGTTGTTCTTCTTTTCTTTTTTTTTGAGGGGATGGATTTAGGTAAGGGCCAAGAGGAGTGTGGGATACAAAGATTGAATTTTTAATGAGGAAATTTCATAAATAGCTATAATTTGAAGCATAATTATCTTTTGTAGTTATAGTTTGCTTGATTACGATTCATAGCTACTATTTTATGAGTAGTAAAGTCTTGATTTTGATATCTTTTTAAGAGTGTTTTGTGTTGTAGGTGGTGATAAATAATGGAGTTGTGGAAATAACTTGGACAAATCCAGGAGGAATTATCAAAGGGATAAAGTACAAGGGAATTGACAACTTGTTAGAAGAAAAGAATAAAGATTTAAATGGAGGGTAAGTTAGATAGAAGGTGTAATATGTTGTTTCTTGTGCTTCGATTATCGTATTATTTTGTTGTAGTTCCTGTTCAGTGTCAGAGTGGGTAAAAGTGGGTCCCACATTAATTGGGAATGGACTGGTGGTCTCGAACTTGGACAATCCTCCCCTCGTGAGCTAGCTTTTGTGGTTGAGTTAGGCCCAGATATCATATCTTTTACATTCAGAATGTTTTGTTATGCTTTCACATCCGTTTATTCTTTTTTTGCTTTGGAATGTTTAGAAACAACCTCTGAGGTGCGTACACTCTACCCTCCACATACCCCACTGTATGGAACTATATTGGGTTATGTTTGTTGTTGTATAATCAAAGAAATCTGTCTTTGAGGATGTACAAAAGCTGAGTCTGTGTTTGTATCATTTTATTTAAGATGATAATCCATGTTTTTTTTACAACCATAGTTGAAGAGGTAGTGATTTATCTGATGCTGTTGAAACAAACAGGTTTTGGGACCTTAACTGGAGCGAGTCGAGTAATACAAAAACAAGGGGAAAGTTTGACACGTATGTATTCTTTACTCTCATCCTTTTCCCTACCGTAAAAGTTAATGTTCACCCTTAAGCTATGTTGCTCGGACTTTTCAAAAAATGCCTAGAGGGTAATACTGAAACCTCCAAAAGTAGTGCATTTTTTAAGGATCCGACAGGGGTGCAAGCTCAGTTTTGGGAAGTCAAAGCAGTACAGTGAATTAACCGAGGTTAAGAAGTTTAGAGATTGTTTTATCATCCTTCTTTTCGTTTGTGTCGATTATTGATGCAGGATACAAGGGACAGATTTGCAAGTTATAGTGGAAAATGAGGAGCAAATTGAGCTTTCATTCACAAGAATGTGGAGTTCAGAAGTCCAGGGTGAACAAGCTCCTTTGTATATTGATAGGAGGTTCATGTCGAATTTAGATTGTTTTCTTCTAATCGTTTGAGTATAATTCGTCATTAATGGACTACTAGGGTTCTTAGTTACTGATACAGATTATTTGCAGGTTTGTAGTATTTCGTGATGTTCCGGGATTTTATTCATATGCCATCTTTGAGCACACGAAAGACATGCCTGCTTTCCACCTTAACACAACGAGAATTGCTTTCATGCTCAATAAAGAAAAGTAAGAATCTCCATAGCTATATTTGGGATGTAGTCTGAAATGCATCAAAATGTTGTTTCCTTGAGGATGTAAAAATGATGAAATTCTAACAAAATGAAATCGAGAACGGAAACAAGAAGTAACTCTCAATGATAACTTCTGGCGTTTCCAGGTTTCACTACATGGTCATAACAGATGATAGACAAAGATTTATGCCTAGTGCAGAAGACCGACTTCCAGGTAGAGGCGAACCATTAGCCTATCCTGAAGCGGTTCTCCTTGTCGATCCTATTGAGCCAGAGTTCAAAGGAGAGGTATTATACTTGAGGGAATTTACAGCATTAAATGAGTAAGGCTGTAGTGTAAATTAGAGGTTATAGTGAACTTAATATACTGTCTCTTTTGGATCCTCAACTGCAGGTGGATGACAAATATCAGTATTCACTTGAAAACAAAGATAATCAAGTGCATGGATGGATATCTTTTGACCCTCCTGTGGGGTTTTGGCAAATTACTCCGAGCAATGAATTTCGAACAGGAGGGCCATTTAAACAAGATTTAACCTCCCACGTGAACCCGACCACCCTTGCTGTAAGCAGTTATCATGCTAATGTTTGTTCGATTATAGACAGTTTCCGTGAAAAATATGCATTTAGTTCTTTTGTGATCCTCAGTATCCTCTATAGCGGTTGGCGAGCAATCAAAGGCATACAATAGTTTATATGAACACAATCACATAGTGAACTTTGGCAGACTTCATTCATATGATTCATCTAAACTATAACTCCCTACAAGTAATTTCTTTTTTAAAAAAATTGCAGATATTTCTAACTTCCCACTATGCTGGTACAGAGCTTCTGGTAAAATTTGAAACTGGGGAGGAGTGGAAGAAAGTCCTCGGCCCCGTGTTCACATATTTTAATTCTGTATCAGACAAAGACATGGCTCTATCTCTTTGGGATGATGCGAAAAGACAGGTCAGGAACAAAGAAAACACAGATGTTGAAATCACAAAAGTAAATCAGTATAGAGAATAATGATTCTTAACTTGACATAGTTTCACATTTTATATTATTCAGATGAACGAAGAAGTCGAATCCTGGCCTTACAGTTTCCCAACTTCTGAAGAGTTTCCTAAGTGTGATCAAAGGGGCGTAGTTAGAGGTCGATTGCTTGTGCAAGACAGGTACCGTCCTCTCTTACCTTAATTCCACATTTTGCATTTCCAGGTTCTGTAACTATGTCGTCTGAGTTAGTCTTATGATCTTATGGACAGATACTTGAGCAAAGAAAATTTACCTGGTAAAGCTGCATCTGTAGGACTAGCAGCGCCAGGAGACGCTGGATCATGGCAAAGAGAGAATAAGGTACTTTTCTCTATCGCTCTGAATTGAACGAGAAATACAGTGCCTTATAAGTAAACAAGCTCATCTAACCTGTATCATTCAGTTAAAACTACTAACAGACATGATATGCATAGGGTTACCAATTTTGGACTACGACAGATGAGGATGGCTGCTTTGTCATTAAGAACATACGTGCAGGGTCATATAATCTTTACGGAGTGGTGCCTGGATTTATCGGAGATTACAAGTATGAAGTTGTAATAACTTTAACAGAAGGTTCTATTAAGTAGCTGCAATTTGAATTAGAATCTATGCTGAAACTTTCTGAGTTATCAAATAACTTCTAACCATGATAATTCATATGAATACAGGTTCTGATATTGAGCTGGGTGAGATTGTTTATGAGCCTCCAAGAGATGGTCCTACCTTATGGGAGATCGGTATCCCTGACCGCTCTGCTGCAGAATTTTATATTCCTGATCCAAACCCGAAATATGTTAACAAACTTTACCTAAATCAAGACAAGTGAGACCCCTATAGGCCCTTACCAACTTCTTAAATTTAAACAGGCTAACTTTTGTACAATTGGTAACTGAAAGAAAACATTCTGTCGTAACTTTATGCCAGATTTAGGCAGTATGGTTTGTGGGAGAGATATGCTGAGTTATATCCCGAGAACGATTTAGTCTACACAGTTGGAGTTAGTGACTATCAGAAAGACTGGTTCTTTGCTCAGGTTAACAGGTACTTTGTCTAACATTTTCCCCAAAACTCATATTTCTTATTCATAAGTAATCGTAAAACTGTTGCTACTGATGACTTTCTTTAGACTCTCAAGTTATTCCAAGACTCCGAAGACATGATCAGTGTGTAAATACTTGTATGTGTAGGGAAATAGGTGACAATGTATATCAAAGTAGTACATGGCAAATCAAGTTCAAGATTTGTAATGTAGATCAAGATGGAACATACACATTGCGCGTAGCACTTGCAGCTTCTAATCATGCTGAATTGCAGGTATCATACAAATTTCTTACATAATGTTAACATAAATTGAATTGGTTGGTGCCATTGTATTCACTTGAAATTAACATGAGCTGAAACTTTTTGTAAAAGGTTCGGATCAACGATCCAACAACAGATCC